TTTAGACCAACCAGGCATTTGTGTATTAAATATACTTTGTATCTTTAAAGCTAATGGTTAAACAAAAGTAAAATTGAATACATTATAATACAGAATAATGAAAGGGTGATACCAGGAAATTTGGTTTGTCATTTATCTCTGTTATTTCATCCTACACGGCAATAACCCTGATTATCAGCATTATAGCTCCACCAAACAGAAAATGGAAGACAAGATCTGTCAACCAACTCCCCCAGTCCTGCTCTTCAGAGAAACTTCCAACTCAAGAAATAGGCTACAGAATAAGTAAAGAGAAGAAAAAAAATAGCTATTCTAAGCAACATTGCTTCAGGGTATATGGCAGAGAATGCAGGCTAGAAGAGAACCACAATAAACTGGATAATCTGTGAGTCTCCCTTGTCACATGGCCCTTTCCTCCCATGTGGTCGGCTGAAAGCATTGACTATCAGAAGCATGACTATTAATAAATGCTCTAGAAAAGCAGCTTCAGTGTAGCTTGCATGACAGTTCTTCTGAATTCAGTCAACTACAGGTCCAACTGACAATAGCAAATAAATGTGTAGGGGGAGGACCAGGTGGTTACTTTACAGATCAGGGAGGCCAGTGCCTCATCCCTCCAAGCACAAGGTTGACATGCTGCTATATACAAGGAGTAACATTTGTCAGGATGCAGATGCAACTTTTCGGTAGTCTTAAACCAACTGGATGCAATCCTTTATTTATCAGGCACTGGAAGCACTGCATGCTGTTTTCTCTTGTTGGAAGAAGATGAAAAGCAGCACAGGTTCTCTTACTGGTTGTGCATGAGGGGGTAAAATTTAATCAGTCACATTATGTACAGAACAGAAAATGTTTCCCCCTGTGAGGGAGAAGGCACTAGGCCTAGGGTCAGTAGAACAATTGTTTAATTAATACGAAAAAGTCTATTGCCCTTTGGAATAAACTCGGGGGGAGGGGGGAGGATGAAATATTGTTTGACCCAGAAAAAATCTGAAGACAGGGAGGTGGTATAAAGGACGAAACTCAAGCCAAAGTCCCAGCAACTAAACACACATCTTTGAAAGTGAGATTCTTGAAGGGGAAATTTTCCCTTATGTTCAAATATGGAATCCATAACCACATAGAAAACTTACAAAAGGCGCCACTGTGGAATAGTTTGCTGGTGTTTTACTGAATATAATCATTGATTTGTGAAAGAATGAGATCCAATATCTCTAAGCTAGATACGAAAAACTGAGAAACTGCCAAAGTGTATAGATAATTCACTTTGCAAGTATCACTCAAGGATATGTTTAAGGGAGCAGGAGAAAATGTCAATCTTCTTCTCTCGCCCAACACTGAAAGAATATATCCCACATCTTGGAGAAAGTATTGGATGCAGACTTCTTCCTACTCTTCCCAACAAATGGCTGGCCTACACTGGGAACTTAAATCAGCATAGCTACATCCAGGGTCGCCGAGAGCGGGTTCGGACCCCGGTGAAAAAAATGTTTCGGGCCCACCAGTAAGGGCGGGGCCCCCTTCCAGAATTTTTTCAGGCCCCCCAGCAAGGGCAGACCAGCTAAACAGGGACAATGAGGGGGAGGAATCCGGGCCCTTGGCCCCCTTCCGGACCACGGGGCCCCGGTAATTTGTACTGGCTTCCCCCCCTCTCGTCGGCCCTGGCTACATCTCTCCCGGGCATGAAAAATCCACACCCCTGAGAGACGTAGCTATATTAACCTAGCCCCCGGTGCAGATAGCGCTATGTCAACAGAAGCACCCTGCTCCCAGGAGCGTAGGTAGTATCTACACTGAAGCACTACAAAAAGAACAGGAGTACTTGTGGCACCTTAGAGACTAATAAATTTATTAGAGCATAAGCTTTCGTGAGCTACAACCTACTTCTTCGGATGCATATAGAGTGAAACATATTGAGGAGATATATATACACACACACATACAGAGAGCTTATGCTCTAATAAATTTTGTTAGTCTCTAAGGTGCCACAAGTACTCCTGTTCTTTTTGCGGATACAGACTAACACGGCTGCTACTCTGAAACCTGAAGCACTACAGTGGCACAGCCGAAGCGCCACAGCTGTGCCACAGTACTGTTCCAAGGGTAGACAAGCCCCCAGCAATCTTCTTCGGTATTGAAACCAATCAACGTCCAGGCCATTAACACATTCATAGGGTCCTGGTTTAGGAGATCATGATTAAGAAACCACTTTCATGGTCAGGAGATGGTAATACTTCAGCAGTTGGACATTACAGCCTTTGACAAATCTCCTGGAGTGCATGAGGATATAGACTCCAGTCCCACAGAAGTAGATTCAGTTGGACACTCTGATCTGCTACAACAGCGTTTCCCAAACTTTTTTGGCCACGGAACACTTTTTAGCCTATTACGGAACACTTATAATATTATTTTGTAGTCGTTTGGTTTTCAAATAAAAAATTGCATTATTTATGCTCAAATAATTTTATTTTATAAAACAAAGCAAAAAATACAAATTTAAAGTAACTTGAACTAACAATTTCTAACTGGAAAGCGCGTATAAAGTAGTACAAAAATCAAGTTCAAGAGTCAAAATTTAAAACAGTGTTCTACTTTAAAAAACCTGTTTTTATATATACATAAACACCAAACAAATTAAATTTTTACTAGGAAAATCTATTTTTATAAACAGAAATCCAAATTTGGATTTAATGGGATTGGTGTTTCTGCGTTTTTCTATCACAAATTTGCTTAATATTAGGCATAATGCTGGAAAGTTGAATCCTCATGTCAGGCGCAGCATCAAGTGTATTCCTATATTTGGTTTTTGTTGCAGTATAATACGAAAATCCCGTCTCACACAAATAAGTTATAGCAAAAGGAAGGAGCACTCGAACTGCACCTTTAGCCACATTAAGGTACTCTTCTATTAGGCTGCTCCAAAAATTATTCAGCGGAAGATCCTTAAACTTTTGTTTCAAATCAGAGTCAGAAATTAAGTCAATTGGGCTTTCATAATCGTGCGTAGTAAAGCCGACTGATTTGGCTGTAATTACAAACAGATTTCGAACCCAAGCATTATCATCAGTAGTTGTAGGAAAATATTCTAATAAAGAGGCCTGCAAGTCACGTAAGTGCTGTAAAATGGTGCTGGAAACTTCTTTATGGACTGTAGAATTTATTTCAGTCAGAAATTCATGTACTGTAGGGAAGCAGTCGAAGTTATTCTGTTCGACAGAAGATGTCCAGAATTCCAGTTTCTTTTTTGACAACAAAATTTTATCCATTGTAGTAAAAATGGTCACATTCTTTCCTTGCAGCGACAGATTAATTAATTTAATTTTGCAAAAATATCTGCAAGATACGCAAGTCTCATTAGCCATGAAGAATTTGTCAGACAGTCATTAAATTTTCGTCCTGAATTATCTGAAGTGAAGAATACCAGTAGTTCACAACGAAGCTCAAAAAGCCTCACAAGCACTTTTCCTCTGGATAGCCACCTCACTTCTGTATGTAAAAGAATCGCTTTGTGCTGACTATCCATTTCCTCACACAAAATTTTAAATGACCTGGATTGAAGTGGTCGAGATTTGACAAAATTGATAATTTGTACTGCTTCATCGAGCACAATTTTCAGATATGCTGGTATTTTTTTAAATGCCGTGCTTGTCTGTGTAGAACACAATGGCTCTTAGCGCTTTCTGGTGCCCCGCTTATGATTCGTGTTACAGCTCCCTTCATCTTCCCGATCATTGCCCAAGCACCATCAGTACATACATCAATACATTTTCCCCAACTAATTTCATGCTTTCTGATAAAATTGTTGATGCAGTTGAATATTTCTTCTCCAGTTGTGTTGCTTTGCAGAGAGTCACATAAGAGCAGCCTCTTCAATAGTATTATTAAATTTATATCGGACAAATACTAGTAGCACAGCAAGGCCTGAAACGTCAGTGGACTCATCTAGTTGCAATGAATACTCATGGCAAATTTTCAGTCGGCAGACTAGCTCTTTTTCTATGTCATCGGCAAGATCTTTAATACGACGTGCAACAGTATTATTTGACAATTATACAGCATCAATTTTTTTTTACCAGACTGCTTGCTTAACATGCACGTTACAATATCTTTCATGCAAGGCTTGATAAGCGTTTCTCCAATAGTGTGAGCTTCTCCGGCAAGCGCAATACAGTAACTTACTCAATAAGATGCCTCTGTTGCACTTTTGTTGTCTGTTTTAGCAATTTTAATCATCAAAAGTTTATAATTTCCAAGTGAGTCACACTTCTTCTTGAAAAAACTTATATCTTTGTCTTTGTATTCAGCATGCTTGGTTTCCAAATGCCTACGAAGTTTAGCAGGAGCCAATGAACTGTTTGCTAGTATTTTGTTGCACACGACGCACTGCACATCAGGAACATCTTTAATTCCAACACACGTAAAACCAAAAGACAAATAACTTTCATCATACTTTCGTTTCGGTCTTTTAACACCTGCTTCTTCTTGTTTTTTGATATACTTCGGTGGAAAGTCTTTCATCTTGGATAACTCACTAGTACTAACAGATTTTTCAGCAACAAAAGACTGCAATTGTTCATCCTCACTTTGAAGTGTCACAATATTTTACTCGTTTATTTCGGCCACAGTTGGAGTACCAGAAGAACATGCTTTTCGTTTCAAAGTTCCTTCTTTTAGCCACAAATCAATGGCTAAAAGAAGGAACTTAGGTAAATCAATTAGGTTTAGTAACAATATTTAGAAATACTGATTTTTGTCAAATTTTGTTTGTCACAAATATTTATACTGTTTCGAGCGAAGCTAGTTTAGTTGTGCTTATCGCACAGACGGTAAAGACCCACAGGTTTGAACGTGTTGAGTGAATATGTTATATTCAACATGGCGTAAAGAAAATGGTGTGTGCAGCCGCGAGCGGAAGGGGTACGACGTCACTAACTGAAACGTGCCCGAAAGGGGTAGACGTCAACATGCTTGCGTGCCACGTTCTCTTTACGCCAGGATATTCAATACGAGATCTATCAATAACCGGAAAAAGAGTTTTACGTTAAATTATAGTCATTCAAAAAGAGTTGTAAACTACACTTCAAATATGCCAAATTTAAAATTAAAAAAAATTTAAAGACCCTTTTTTCTAATTATGATTCTTTCACGGAACACCTATTCACATCGTGTGGAACACCAGTGTTCCACGGAACACAGTTTGGGAAACACTGTGCTACAGTCTTCTCCTTGATGTTGTGGTAGATCACTCTGAGACACATAAAAATGACTGACCCTTGCCAATTTAGTTATGCCAACTGTGACACTCTACACCCCAGGGAAGAGCCCTCTAGCCCCCATATTCATCATTTGTATATAATTGTGATATTGCATATAAAACATGGTATCATGTATCAAGTAAGGTATCAGGGGAAAGGTTTGATCTGCTGAAAGCCATTGTTTCTAGCTAAATATGTACATCACTAATGCATATGAAGTTATGAGAATTGTGTTGTATGACTGTCACTAAAAAATGCTGTGGGTTTGGGAAGCACCCAGATACTAGCTCCCCAAAGTCAATAATCAGGGAGATAACCAACGCCCAGGTGCGTGTCGAACAAACATCAAGCAAGGGTGCTACAATTCAATGACTCACTTGCACAAGGCCACACCAGGGGAATTGCTCAACCTCGCCTGGTGACTCAGCAATGCCCACCAGACATGCCTGGACTTGTGTTCTCCAAGCATTTGGACTAAGGGTATAAAACAGAACTTAAAATCTAACTTATTTTACTGTTTATCTTTACCAGTGAGTTTGCCTGAAGTGCTTGGTAAAACTGCTCAGGTTTACAAAGGCTGGTGTATATCCACTTTCCATTGATGAAGTAGTGAACCAATTAATAAACTTGCATTGTTCAAGAAAGGGTCTTGAGCACTGCAAAACGGTATATTCCTGAGGTACAAGGCTGGGAGATGGGGGGATTTGCCTGATGCCTTTCTCTGTGTGATTCATGAGTGGCTCTGGGAGCATTCATGCAATCTTGCTGGGTGTATGGCTCTACATGTGGTTGAGCTGAGTGATAATAGCGCCTGGAGGGATTTGGTGCTTGTCACTAGCAAAGTATTGTGAGAGACAGCCTAGGTTGGAAAGTTAAAGGGGCACAGCAGTCCCACAGTCTCAGGATGTAACCCGGGGATTCCGCCACACCAACACAGCCTGATTGTCACACCAGACTGCAATGTTTTGGGTGGTTCCCAAGATAGGAGAAAATAGAAAACACACATTCTTAATAGACTTCTCTATAAATGAACCAGACAACCTAAACCTGTAGACACCTTATCTGAACGAACACCATTCCAAAATATCCTCTTCTCACATGAGAGGTTCATTAATGTTGTCCAACATAATGGGCTTTCAAATTGTCACAATTTCCCATCTAATGACACCAGCTCCCAGCTCATGAAAATGAGATATAGCACTACAGAGAGTAAACCCTGGTAAACTATTATTAAAAATTGTTACTCAATCTTTCTGCACAATATATTTTTATAATGCTTCTAAGTGAAAAAGATTACTTTATCAACATGACACCTTGATTGGATATATCCGCTACGTATTACATAGAGAATGACAAGTAATTTATACTAGGACAATCATGCTCTCCCACATAAAATTCAGCGGGAGGGCAAAATTCCCAAGTTTACATCTATTCAGCATGCAATGTTTTCATATCTCTGGGGTGAGCAGAAATCATGGCCCTCTAAGCCCCACTGCTATCCCAATATCTGTGCGAAATCCTACAGATCTCAAGACGTCTGCAGAAAGCAAGGAGATTGGTACAAAGGACAAAGTACTTTGCTCCCTGGTACAATGGCTCCATCTCTAATACCATCATACGTGTCTTATCCTGAATCTGAGGGGGTTTGCCAGTAGGAAAAGAGCCACAGGAATTAATGCTTATAAGATCTACATTTATCTTCATGGGTTTTTCCAAGGGGTAATGCCACACAGTGTGTCAGTCCCATAGCAGTGTCCCTCAAAACCCTTTTAGCCCTGACAGATTTTGTAAAGGACATTCTTACACAAAATAAGAGGTGGATGCATGTAGATACTCTTCCCTCCTTCCCCCCCCCAACACAAAGTCACTGAAAATCTGTTGAGGACGTTCAGCTACTTTCATCCCCTTCCCTGCAAAACCAAGTAACAGAAATGCAAGTTACAATGCAATTTGTATGGCCTACTGCATCATTCATAACTATAAAAAGGGACAATAAATGATGTTCGAACTGGCCATCTTCCATGGCTAACCAGCAAAAAATCCCAGTTGGGATCCAGTGACTCTCTGCAGGCATCCCACAAAGCTAATCAGGTGCTCAAAGGCAAATGTAAAGCCCCAGCTCTTTTTTAACAATCTGCAATGAACCTGTTAATCAAGAGGAACAGGTTTTCATTATTCCTTATGCATGCAATGTATATATTGGGGGAAGAGAATCTCAGCTCATGTCTGTTCTCTGGCTGAGAAGAGAGGATTTAAATCCAGATTAATGAAAGTTCGGATTAATGAAAAAGTTTGATTTTTTTCCTGTGAAGTAAGAAAACGAAAAGATCTATTAGATCATCTTTACCTGTCCTGAGTGCTTTGCCAAGCCTTTACCCCCGCCTCCAAAGCCATAGTTCCAGTAATGAAGATTCCATTACTTCACAGGCCTTAACTAAATATTTGCAGAGGCAAAACTAACAGTTGCAAAGTCTTTGAATTTCAAGAAGCAATAAAAAAGTACTTTCAAGCAAGTTACAAGCAGAAAAAAGATTGGAGCTCAAAATGTCAATATTTAAAACTTGTGGTGAAGGATATGCAAGTTCCATTTACCCACTTAGACAGTTTCGGATAGTCTCTGCTGACATAGGGAACTGTTGGAGACAAATCATTTCCCCAGTATTCATCTTCCCAAGCTCTCTGGATCAAGGACTGAATCATAGATATGTGCTTGTACAGAACCTAGCACAACAGGACCAGAATTCTAAGCGCTTTGGACTCTACCACAATGCAAATATGTAAATAAATAAATAAATAAATAATGAATGAATGGCAAGTGTTGGTCAGAGTTCTATATCAGGCTGGTATGTATTTGGATCTCACATTACAGTTTCTAATATAAACGTCTCCTGGATTGTGGACTAGGGAATGAAACGTTGTCTCTCCATTCTTTTGGATTACTAAAGCAGTTTTGCTCACATTCCAAGAGAGGTCTGGTAGATGACATAACTGTTTTATATCTAGCATGGAAGTGCATAGTAAGGAACCGTAAAATAATTTCCCACCTTCAGATAGTGACTACATGCTACCATGCAGCAAATACCACTGGATTTCCTGGAATACGCTTTAGAGATGAGATAGAACTATGGCCTGACTGTCATTTATTCAACAATCACCAGAGGATCTCCAGGATTTATTTCCAAAAGAGAACGTGATTTTTTTTTAAAACTTTACCTAATAAGAAAACTCTGCACAAGTATTTTGGGCAAGGATTCACCAAGTTACCTAAAACCATGCCCAACTTAGAGCATGTGAGGAGTCGCACTGATATCAACAAGATTCTTAACATATTTAAAGTTCAGCATATGCTTAAATACTTGCTCATTTGAGGCCTTAATTAAGAGGTATTTGAACTATACTTCAGACAGTTAAAACAATTGGAATTACTTCTGGAACAATGCAAATAATGGGGATGTTCCCCCCGCTGCCTTTTTTGCATTGATGGACTGAATTAACATCTACTATGAGCTTTCTAAACTGGTCCAGCATGAAGAGAATAACATGTATATTTTAATGGTTAAATATTTGTGACTTTTATCTAATTTTTCCAATTAAAAAATTAAAAAACTTTACTCCTAATTGATGACAATAGACAAGACAGCTTCTAATAGCTCACTAACAACATAAAAAGGTGTTGGCTGTACAAGTGAAGCAATATCATTCCACAAATACATACAACATGTTAAATTTTAAAATATATTATCTGAATGCAAAGAATTTAATAACTCATAACATTTAGCACTTACAAAGCATTTTGAAAATGTAAAGTTCCATACAAACATTAATTAATAAGAAAAAAAGCAATGATAATCTAAAACTGATCTTCAAAACTGATTAGGGTATTTTTCTAGTCTCATATAAATACTCATTTGACCAGCACTTGTGGACTCAGAAATACGTAGAATGTTTTCTCATCTGATTTAAACCAGAAATAATGGACTTTTGTAAATGTATAACAAACTCTTTTGATAAAGTAAGCCAATCTACCTTAACCAAACTATTTGTACTCAGAAAAAAAAAACATTCAAATTTAGTTTAATCTACATAAATATATCTAAACATACTGAATATCTGCGATGTAAAAGATGGAATAACGTAAGAACGGGTCTGCTAACGCTGCCAATAGCACTAGCAGCCCTGGAGGAGGCGCGATCGAGCAGATTCACACCATCACATATCACATTCGCATCCTTTCCTGTGCTGAGTGCATAATTTTGACTATAAGGGTTAAACAAGTGTACTAGTGGGCAGTTCCCAGGATGCTCTTCTCCAGTGTTCAGGGGCACTATGTCTTACAAAGTGATTATGCATCCAGCTACTTATTGTAAGACACATAATCACCTGAGTGCCTAGGAAGCGTCCACTGTTATACCGGTGACTGACACAGTTCAATGGGACTGGTTATGGGAGTATCTGCTCATAACAACAACTATGGAGGTCACAATCTGACCCATAAAATAATTAAAACATACTGAAATGTGATGACTGAAACACTATAAAACATCCGTTCAGTAGTACACAGCTATGAATGTCCATCTTTTTGAAAGGCCTTTGCTGTGCATAGGAGAATTAGAATATTTGAATTTTGTAAATCAGATTTTATTCTACAGTTTTATCAACTTCAGTAAACTAGCTGTACAAATACAAACATTTTATGATCTATTTTTAGTGTATTTCAATGAATTAAAGACCTGCCTACTCTATTCTCCTGTAAAAGGGTTGTTATTCAACACACTGTCTCAGAACAGAAGAGCAGTTCTTCTCTGCCCTGAAATTAAAAATATTTCTGTTGGAATTAAAAGCTTAAGGCAGTAAATGCTTTAAGCATCAAGATTATGGGAATTGCCTGTAGTCTACATTTTTACTGAGAGCGTAGGGGAGTATAGTTTTCTAATATACAGAGTAACTACCACAAACAGTAATCTTTAAACTAAGCTGATTAAGCAAAATGGCAACTAAAAATAATGGATTTAAAACAAAAAAACAACAAAAATGAAAGTAAGTGTTCCAGTGCTGTAAAAGACTGCCCTGTCATAGTACATAACTCATGGAGTAGGATTCAGAAGAAAAGGAAATGGTTTAAGGTTCTCTTTGTGAAGTTTGTGAAGCAAAGGGGCAGGAAGTCCATGATGTTTGACACCAGATATGGAAACAGCCCCTGAAAGCAGCCTCGAAGCCTCACAGATCCATGCCAGGGATCAACAAGAGGCCAAATGTCCTCTTCCTCTGCAGAAGCTCTGTGCCCCAGTGTACCCCTAGCTCCAATGGAGCTGTGCAATCAGGGCTTCCCTGACCAGGAGATTGATAGAAAAGATAATACAGTCCCTTGCATTAATTTATTATGTGGTATTGGGATGCCCCCAGGTGAAAGACCACTGTGCCCATCACCAAATCTAGAGTATCCTGTGGGATATGTTAGAGGCCAGAAGCCAGTACACCAGCTCTAGCCCATGGTAACCTAGTAGTGCAGCTTTATTGGAACCCCACAACCAACTATTTCCAGTAACCATATGAAAAAAAAAAAAAGGATACAAACAGTGAAACTTATTTAAACAAGGTTTTTCCTCCCCTATGGCCTGTGTGGCCAGCATGTGTTTTATCAGTTGTTTACCAAACTAATACAGAAGACCAATCATACCTGGATTTGACAACAACACTTATCTCTTTTTCTTTCTGTATGTAAGAATGAAACAGGCATCTCTTATTGCAGATCTTATTTATTTAAAAATATCCACTTGCTGCATAATTTAATAGGAACCATAAACTACTTGTGAGAGGATTGCATTAAGGTTTCAAGTTTTATATTTCTACCCCCAAAGATATTGCTTATGGCTATTTATAAAGTTTTAAAGTATTTATGGGAAATCCCTTTTAAAAACCTCATAGGCTCTGGGTTTAGGATAAAATACAGTTGGTTGTGGATGAAGCATGACTTGTAGATCAAAACACCACTTTGTTAAATCCACAACTAAACTGATTAACTCATAGAAGTCATTTTTAGGAGAAAACACAGGCTGACAAGTTGTGTATAACAAGTAACTTGTGTTAGACTAAAACTTGTTATACAAAGGATGGAATAACTGCCCAAATAAGAGTGGTTAATCACATAACAATAAATTAAGTCTTCCATCCTGCACTGAGAATCATGTGTATGCATCCTACACAGCACCACAGACTTACACAAATTTTTTTCAGGGCTGTGCTTACACAGTTCTCAGAGCAGGACTAGAACCTACATTTGTTAATTTTATTAGCACTAGCTGTTAGTGCTATATTCAAACATTGTAATCTAGAGTACTTGGATAGGAAAAACCTATTTCTGTTAATGATAATATCTGGAGAAAACGTGATGTTATTAATATGTTTCATCATAAGCTCCCTCCATATTCAGTAGCTGTGATTTGACGACCGTTCTGGATTCTTACAAGCTTTCCCTCGGACATGAGTAGAAGTGTTGAGAATTTGCACTGAAGGATCACAATATCCTACTTTCACACTCAGGTTCATACACTTACCTGGAAATAGGATAAGGATAAAAAAAATGTAGACTTCACAACTGTGAACATTATTAAGAGGCATTACCACCACCACTTGCCTTTTGGAAGTCCTGAGTTCAAGCTAGAGATGGTTTGGAATTTTCTGCTGAAGCTTTTTTTTGGACAGAAAAATCCATTTCCACAAAATGGAAAACCTCCCTGATATTTTTCAAATTTTCCATTGGAACATGTCAAGTCAAACTGAAAATATTTCAATTTGTCAGGCCAACCCGATTTTTTTTTTCCGGGTCAGCTTGACATTGTGTGTGTTTGCTGGAGCTGCCACAATGTCTCATGGGAGCTGCAGTTCTAATATCTCAAGACTGCATTCTTTATTCTATGGGACAGTCTTCCTGGCAGAACTACTACATTTCCCAGGATGCACCAGTCTCCCCTCTAGTTGAACCAGTATGGTGAATCATGGGATTCATGTGACCACTGTGCATCATGAGAAAAGTACTCTGGCCTGGGAACTCAGCTCACAGAAAAGGATGGGAGCATGTGGCACCCAAACTATAGCAACCATGAGGCACTAAAGCAGCTCAAGTAGATGTGGATTAGTGCTGAACCAAACTGAAATTTAATGTTTTGAGTCCGTTCAACAAAACAAAATGAAACATTTCAATTCAGCAACGTCAACACGAAAATTCTGACATTTCAAAATCCAAATTTTTTGAACTTAATGTTCTGTAAAAAATGTCAGTATTTTGACTTTTTGTCTCAATTGTGACAAACAAAATTTGAAACATACAAATTTTATACAGAATAAAGTTCTAGTTTTTGACCAGTTCTAGTTCAAATACTTCCAGTGAAAAAAAACAACAACATATATTACACTCTCAAGTCAAAACATTGCATCTTACCTGCTTAGGAAGCCTGAAAAGAGAGTTTTTGTAGAATATATCTTTAGCCTGACTCCATGTTCCATCAATGATGATGACTGTGGATGGACTTGGGAAGATCAAAGCCAATTCTTCCAAATTAGCTGCTTCAGCTCCAGGATACAGAATTAGAGTACTAGAATTTCGGCACACAGCTGCTAATTCAGGATACCTACATGAACAGAGAGAGGACTGTTTTTCTGAAAGGGAAAATATATGTAATGCGTATCATGCCTCATTCCCATAGCTCTGCCAATTTATTGACTCTTCAAATTCATCTTCTCCCAACTTCAACTATCCAACCCACTATACTCCCATCCATAGCCTTCAATTCTGCTCCTTAGTCAGGCAGAGGAATCTGCAAAGTACTAAGAGGTGTTACTTTACCACAAGCTTACAAAAGGCCTAGGGGCTAAATTTTCAGAAGTGGCTACTAATTTTGGGTGTCCAACTAGAGAGTTTTAGTTCCGATTTGCAGAGAAGCTAAGCACCCAAAACTCTACTTGAAGTCAATGGAACTTAAGTACTTAGCATCTCTTCAAAAAAAATCAGAGTGGTCTTGGCATCTCAAGTTGGGCACCAACAGAGATAGGAAAACTTAATGGACGCTTGAAAATAATGGCCAAAAGATACTGACTCTGCAATACTCCCAGCTCCTGCCAGCCTAGTGAGCAAGACACAAGGACCAGGAACAGAGCTTTAATCTCCCATATGACAGCATTTAATTTTCACTAGATATAGAGCTAAATTCAGTTTATTTGCTTTAGGGAAAGTTCACAGTTATGCAGACATCGTTGAATGTTTGAATTATTTATTATGGATTTTAAGTCTTATTAGGTTTTTACAAATGATTAAAAAACATATATACAAAATAGTTTCAGCATAAATAAAAAGCAAAGGACTACAAATGCTTTCATCAGATTGAGGGTGAATACTGAATACAGAAAACATTTTCCATTATGTAAGTAAAAGCATTTCAAAATGTTTCCAGAAACAAAAATCCAAGTTTAATGCGTATTTAATAGTACTAATAATAATGCAGGATTAAAGTTCCATGGCTAAGAACTAAAACATTAGGAAATGTGAAAGTTACATTTGAACTCTGAACCTTGGTTCAGTTGTATTCTGAAAAGGAACTGTGACATTCTATGTTAATTGTCTCAGCAGTTCCACTGACTTGTTCAACATCAATGTAGAAAGATGGGAGGAGCGCAAAGAATCCCGTCCAATTTGGAGGGAATATCTGGCACTGGATGCCGCTCAACATGAAGAGGCTTTGATCCAGAGGATGGAGCAAAGTGAGAAAGAAGAAAGCAGCATACTGTAGTCTTGGATTGTAACTCAGACACCACATGGATCTGGAAATTTGTAACAAACTGTGTTGCTCTTGAATTGGGCTTGTCAGCCATAAGCGGATTCACCAGGCACCTGATTAGACCTCTTATGCATATACCATGATCCAGTTTGGATCGACAGCTGACAATGAAAAATGGTTACAGTGACTTCACTTGAGATCTGGTCCATTTAAATGTATAAAGATTATTTTTCTAAGTGCCACTTCCATAAATAAATCTTGGAATTCGAAAGTTAATTATTACTTATATAGTGTCATAAGTGGGCATGTTGCTTTACAGACAAACGAAAGACATTGTCCCTGCCCTAAGGAACGTGCCATCTACAGACCTGATCCTACCAGATAGTGAGCCTCTCTAGAGATATTCAGCACTCGTCACTTACATGGTGGGAGGGTGCTGAACGTCTCTCTGGAGGTGTTCAGCATCTTGCAGGTAATGGGCCAATTACACAAACACTACCAGACACTGTAGTGCTCACTACCATGAGTGGCCTTATTGGAGCCATGCCCAGCGCTAGTAAGATTTCCAGAATAGACTTCTAAACTCAGCATAGGAAGAGACAAGATCAACAAACACAACCTGGTGGTTGGATTACAGAGGGACATGGTTAACACTAAATAAGCTCATGAGGTTATATGTTTTTGTAACATGTATATTTTAGTTCCATATGTTTTTTAAATTAGTTTGGTGTAGATGTGCCGGTTAGCTGGTCTTTTTCTTCTCATGTATCATCACTATTAAAATACACGTTGAGTGAGACATATTAGGTGTACCCTTCAATTGCACCTAACTATGCCTTTCTTTGATGTGGTGAAACAGAAATAACTTGACTTACAGATTCAATTATAATATACAGGGTTGGCAGTTAAAATATCTTCTTACTTATAAACTGAACAAATATAATATGGAGTTGCTGAGACACAAATATGTACCTCAACAATACCATTTTTAAAGCTACTTTACAGAAAGCAACAACCATGCTTTGGATCTGCCTCTTTGTGCATAAGTATTATTATACAGTTTTTAATTATGTGGTGACATACTACTTCTCAAAATAATGCTATAGGACATGAGTTTTCAAAAGGACTCAGCACACACAGCTAGAGCCAGGTGTTCGTAATCGGAGTTGCTCTATGGAACACTTTTGAAAGTAATACCATTCATTTAGTTGCCCAAATGGGAGAAATTGGTGAGGGACTCTTTGGAAAATTTGGTCCATATAAACATTCTACATTTCTTTCTAAAAGCTTAAAATACACATACAATACAGTAAAATTTGTATTGTAATGGTTATGTCCAAATGAACAGAGTTATGGTTAGGTATTCAACCTGCACCTTTGTATTTCCCTAAGTTTAAATGCTAAGCTGCGTAACCTTAACAATGCCTTAATATAGTTTTTTTGTATTTAGTTTCTTTTCTTTTTACCTTTCTCTATTAAATTCATCATCAGAACAAAGAATAATTAACAGGTGATACAAAACAAAAAGAAAAAAGTGTGTTTTGTATTAAAAGTTAATTAAATGAAAGTTAGTGAAGCTGGTTACAAAATAGGTAACTAAAACAATAATTTCTGCCCTTATGTGTCATTGCTTGTATTAAGAAATGAAACGGTGTTTTTACATAGGTATCAGTTTGAAACATTATTGACTTTAAGACACTGCTGCACCAGGAAGATTAATTTCAGAGCAGACACCATACTGATGGCAGCCCTTCAGAAGCTGCTAAGCCTCAAGAGGGAACTAAGCCATTTAAAAAAAAAAAATAAAAAAAAAAAAAACCTGAATCTTCTAACTACCACCATTTATTCCCCAGATCAGCGCCAGACTTTTAAAGGTTTTACATCTCAGTGTCGGTCAGAAAAAAAAATGCTGTATATGAAAAAAGTGATTTTCTTAAACAGCCCAGTTCCCTCCTGAGTACCACCTACTTCAAAAAGGCTGCAAAAAGAGTAGCCACTGCTCCAATTCAAACCAAGTATACAATGAAAGTTCCTATTGACTTTAGGTACCATGATTCCAGTATTTTCAAACTAGTCAGGATTTAGAATTACTTAATTTTTGTGCGCTTTTATAAACATATGATCATGAAAAAAGCTGATAATTAAAGAATTTCAACCACAGAATTGCTGTGTACTAATTTCACTGCTGTAATGCTTATCAGCTAACAATAATCATTAGCTTATCAGCTAATCCTTCAATTTGTTCTGTCTGTTTTATCATGTAAATTTTAATGTGCGTCTAATAAGGATTATCCAAAACTTTACGTTGAATGGCCAATGGTCTCAGTCATACTCATATTTAAAATTCCCAAACAAAACTTTAATATGACGCAATTATGGTTTAGCAGTGGTTAAGCCATAGGTAAGGTTGTATCAGTGAATTGTGTTTAAGAAGGCACACGATGGCAACATCTGTTAGCTGTTTTATTCAAAACTTACAAATTGAGTATAAGAAAGCTTCTAATTTTCTGGATAATTATAATTTCTAGGGCAGTTATATTTTAAAATATTGTTGGAATAAAAACAAATGGTTTTATGTTTGGGTCACTAGCATCTCACTTTTTTTCAGAACCCTTTTGCAAAGATTACTAATGGAGCGTGTACACTAAACTTAGTTTATATAAATACCAGTTTTATATTTTCCCATTTTGGAATTTGAGAAAAATGGTTATGCTTCATAACTGATTTGAGTTGTGCCTATTTGAAAGGGCCCATTAATTATATGATGGTGTTGTTTGCTAGGCACAGCTCTATGTCCATACATTGCATCCAGTTTCAAATTACTACAGGCCCATTTACTCTAATGTAAATGTTGACTTCAGTGTCATCAATTTAAAAGTGCCACATTTACGAATATCAACATTCTTTGCTAAGTAGCATCCTATGTCTTCATACATGACAAGGTTTGTCTAGTTGCAAAAGCTGTTTGTAGGCTGTCAACATTTCTCCACTCTGACCCCTCACTGCAGCTGCTGCATTCACCAGATTGTTGCCATTCTTTGTAAGGCAGCATATTATTTGCTTGCAATTTTTCATCTTCAATTTCAACAGTTTAAAAACTAGGAAAATTCATTTAATATTATTTAAGGTTGCTCTGCTCTACTTACAACGTTTTCCTCACATAATGAAAAGCAAGTAAATTGTGGAGGCCAATAGCCATATTTCTGTTTATCTTCACAAATATAAAGTGCATCAACTGTTAACTATTATTACCTTCCTTCCACAACACACTGTTAACACCCATGGCTTTATCAACTACTACATAGTCTTAAATCTGACATACATACAAGAAGAATACATATGGTTATTAACGTATTAACTTCCTTTTTTAAGTGTATATATAATTCATACTCAGTTATAACAAACAGGACAATGTGACTTCCTGCACCACTCAGTAAATTTCATGCTTTTTGATTATTATATACACTCACACATACAGACCTTCCCCACACATTACTAGGGGAGGGAAAGTTACAAACCAACAGACCACGAGCTCAAATCCTAGTTCTACTGGCTGTTCTTAATATTTCTGTGTCCTTCACAATCCTTATTAACCAAGGATTCATACACTTAGGAGACGCAACGGCATTCACCCATTTTACAAATAAGGGCGTGTCTACATGGGGACACCCAGGAAAATTAATCCAAATTAAATGAATGTGAGAATTTAAAGTGGATTACTTAAATGACATTAAACCCCTGTGGTGGATGCTTTTATTCAGAATGAAAATGGCATTAATTTAGGTTAGTTTAATTCACTTTTGAATTAAGATAACACAAATTAAGGCCACTTTAATTCTGAATAAGAGCATCCATAG